TTAACAAAATCGGCGTAAACATAATAAAATGTACCTATTTTGTAACCTCACTGTGAAATAAAGTAGCTGACCAGCAAACCTCCCAATGTAAGGCTGGATGTGAAAAATCCTGCAGCAAAGTGAAATTTCATGGGAAATGTAGGTAGCAACCCAAATGTTTAAGCACCCAAGATGAAATTTAGCCTTGACAAGACATCTAGTCCAATGACTAATATTGAGAATATGGCTAAAAAGCATAAAACAGTGCTGTATTACCCAAACACAGATTTAGCTGTGCCACCATGTTATGGCCTCTTGCCATAAACCTCTGTAGCCACTATATCAGGGCCTCCACCTGTGTTAGGGATGGTTCTGGTACTGAAGCAAATACCTGCACTTACCACACTATTCCAGTCATGGGGCAGCATCTTAATTAACTAAAAAACTCAACATGACCCAGCAATTTGTGCTCATGGTCCTGAAGGCCAACCTTATCCAAGGCTGCACCAAGAACATGGACCTGTCGGAGTGAGTCCAGAGGAGTACCATGAAGATGATCAGAGGTCTGGAACACCTCTCCTATGAAGACAGGTTGAGAGCGTTGGGGCTGTTCCGCCTAGAGAATAGAAGGCTCTGGGGAGACCTTATAGGTCCTTTGGTAAGGAGTGATTAAAATATAAAGTGGCGATAAAAGACTGTAGCCTTAGCTGCTTGCTAGAGTTAATTTTTAGCTAGAACACTGTTAAATTAGAATAGGGCCTTGCTCACCTATGCTAACTTACAGACAAGATATGGTTAACTTTATAATGAGGATTCTAGCAGAAACAGAGACCTTGGAGTTGTGATAAGGAGCTCTGAGGGAGACCTTGACGACTGATAAAGGGGGACTGAGAGAAGGAGACAAGATGAAACCAGTTTTGAGGTGAGTGGCCAGTGCCATCTCAGCATTCCTTGCAAAGTTGAAAAGGTCAGAGCCAAGGAAGACATCTTAGTTCATCCAAAAGACCCTCAGTGAAGACCCCCAAGGGGCGTTCCAAGGTGGAGTTATAGATGTGGTGTATGTTAATGACTTCCCCTCCCAATTTTCAGGAATTTGCTGACCTAGCTAATGCATATGTAACATTGTATCACATTAAAAAGGCTGAACAAAGGCAATAGGTGTGCATGTTTGGCGAAATTATTCCCCATGCACCCGGCGCTGTAAATAAACATACCTGCTTCAATACTCTTTGTGAGTTTTGGGGTTTATTTCCGCAAGCTACCTTCCTGTACCTAAAACAGGCTGACAAGAAAGCTGGAGAGGGACTTTTCACAAGGGCATGTAGTGATACAACTTCAAACTGAAAGAGGGCAGTTTTAGTTTACATATTAGAAAAAATTTCTTCACTGTGAGGGTAGTCAGAAACTGGAACAGGTTGCCCAGAGAAGTTGTGGATGCCCCATCCCTGGCCCATCCAAGGCCAGGTTGGATTGGGCTTTGAGCAACCTGGTCTAGCAGAAGACCCTCACCATGGTGGGGGGGTGGAACTAGATGATCTTTAAGGTCCTTTACAACACAAACCATTGTATGGTTCTATGAATTATGCCATGCAAAGCTTAGATGTGCTACTCTGGCAGCCAATGAGTGCATTCAGAGTTGTGCTGGGTTTTCCTATATTGCATTGCACCGTGCTGTGTAGAAATAATTCTGTGGCCCTTGTAGCACTAATTCTTGAGGGAAGCCAAAGGGTCATAAAAGTCATGAGAGCAATAGATCACGTTCATTATCTCATCTAACCTCCTGAGTACCTCAGCCATCCTATTTTTTCAGAAGTTAGAACAAAACAAGCCATTTAGAAAAACCTCTGATTTTTGTTAAGATTTCAAGCAACCATGAGTAATTGGTCCCTACGTTATCCTTATTGCTAAAATAGCACAGCTTACTCAAGGTTGCATTTGTTAAATTTCCAGTCATGGGATCACCTTATGTCACAAGACTACAAATTTAAAGACTATAAATCCCTCCACTATTATGCCTCTTCCTACACATAGTAATTAATTTCCTTCTTACCCTTTTCTTTGATTAACTTTGTCTGAGGTCCTTAAATCTCAAGTCAAAGCTGATTTTCTGTCTTGGAAGGCAAACATCAGATTTAGATACAGTATTCTGGCCAGTTGTTTTATGGATGCTAAGTACACAAGAAAGATAATTTCCCTGTATGTATTTGCCATTCCTCATTTACATATGAAGGACTGAATTAGCCCTTTTGGCAACAGCAAATCAAGAACTTACACTGAGCTTGCTACAGAAGAACACTCCTCCTCAAAACAATCTCCAGTCCTGGAAGTAACTATTGCATTCCTCATCACTTACTTGCAGGAGCACTAAAACACATTATTTTTTAAAATCTAACAATTGAATCCAGCTATTTAGATAATTCTTACTAGTAATTTGGACAGTTTACTAGAGAACCATAGAATAATTTAGGTTTAAAAGGACCTGAAAAATGTCCAGTATAATCTCTTGCTCAAAGCCAGGCTACTGTCACAGTAGGAACAGGTTGCCCAGGTCCTTTCTCAGTCAAGTTCATTTCACAGCCTCTCTAGAGGTCTTTCAACGTTTACCCACTTTCATGGTTATTTTTTAAATATATTATCTGTATTACCTAAAAGCATAGCCATGGAAGCCTTTACATCCACATTTTAGGTGTTTGAACAAAATACTGAATTTTGTTTAAAAATTTAGCCAGAAAAAGTCTACAGGCATGTTACTAGCAATAGCCTTGTTCACTGGCACCTGACCACTGACTACTTGTTAGAGATGTCAGTAAACCAGTTTATAATCCACATAACAGATATAAAATCTGTTAATTCAGTCTAATTTCATTGGTTCAGTAAACAACATATGCTATTGAATTAAAAGCTCCAATACAGCCTAAGGAACCAACAAGAAGACTGAGAGTCAGACCAGTTGATTATGTCCAAAAAGATACACATTCTAAGACAGAAGGCTGGCTGGCACTCATTCTTTTTGACTGCTAACTTTTGCTATTAGAGTCCACTGTTTCTCCTGGGAGTTGGCAAAGCAAGAGCTACTGCACAGCTCCCTGCCTCATTCCACCCCTTTCTCCAGTTGCCGAATTCAGCTGTACAATTTGTGCAATTTTTCCAGTTCAGCTGCTTAAAAGTATTCCTCAGCTGGGTCTTTAATGTTCTTGAGAATTAACTATGCAGCTATGCCGATTAGAAAATGCTTAATTTCAGCAAATGCTGCTTTTCATCTTCCTTGAGTGCAGCTAATACTTCCATTCAAGTCTCTCATCCAAGTGCCAATTAGTCCTTGTGACACACAAAATCTGACCAATGGTAGATAAAAAAGGATAAACTCAGACAAAGCTTATTGCTTTCCACAGGCACCCTGCCCAAGCCCAAACATTGATTTTTCTAAAGTTCTACTTTTTTAAAAAGTTTATTGGCAGAAAAGTGACTCTGATAACAGTATTTTGCTTAAAAATGTCTGTTTGGAAGATGGCACTTTAATAAGGCAAGTCTGAGGGTTATGAATTTCTATATGGAAAGCAACTTGGTTGGCTAATTTACTTGGCATCTTGTTCTTAATATTATTTAAAGACACTTTTATATCTGTAATAAAGTTTTGATTTCAAAAACTGTTTGTCAGGAACTGATTTCTCTCTGATATTTTAGTTAATTGAAATATTTTTTTGCCAAGATAACCAAACAAGGCTACTGTTTACTGTTATTAATTAGAGAAATTTGTGTTGAATTCAGTTTATCAGAAGAAATAGGTGGTTCATATTTACATATATATTTTAAACTTTTCTAATTTTAAAACAAACAAATGTATTTTTAATCTGCTCTGAAAACTTTTAATGGCAAATTTTCCACAGCTTCCCTAATTATCTACAGTAGCGCTTAAATACCCTTGCAGCTAAAGTTTTTATTGATGTGCAACCTTGAACTGCTGCACTTTAGTTCTCTGTGGTATGTCAAAACTCAGTGGGTGAGGAGAACAATGCTACCTTTCCCTTTAGAGTGACACTCCACCCTATCCCAGTGCTCCTTAGGTAGCACAGGTGCTTCACAGGGCAATAGTTAAAGAGGACACCATTCTTCACTGAGTCATATATTTCTCTACACCACTGTCCACCACAGAGAAAGCAGCAGAAACTCAGTGGGATTCTGCCACAGTGCCAGCCTTTCTCGGATGGCAGCTGATCACCTTCCTTTCTCTTCATGTGGACAAGGGTAGACAACCAGAAAGCTGCCGGCAAACCTCACAGAGCTCCAGTGTGAAATTCCACCTTTCGCGGATGGTCTTCTGTGCAGGTCTCCAGGCTCACACAAGCTACATTTACAAGACGTGATGAGCCACCACTTGTCTGTGACCAACCTCGCGCTCTGCAAATGTGAGGACTCAGCCCGTGGCAGTGCAGAATGCTGGGTGCGTTGGGTTTACTGAGGATGGCCGGCCGCACGCAGCACTTAGAAAAGAGGTGATGGCCGGACTGGTGATGAGGCCGACGTCTTGATCCATCCAAAAGGGCCGTTACATGGTATGTCCCTTAATCCGAGGCCCTGTACAGCGCCAGCTACCGCCTCCGCATGCGGATCTCCCTCGCCCGCAGTCAGCCCTCGGAGCAGGGCTTCACCCGCGCACACGGCCCCCCGTGCCGCTGCCTAGAGCCCAGCCCTGGGACGGGCCTGCACGGGGTGGCGCGGCACAGCACAACGTGGGCCGGCACAGCCCAGCACTGCACGTCCCGCCCCGCCGCCCCCGGCCCAGGCGAGGCCGGGCCGCCAGATCCGGCCCCCGCCGGTCCTCCCCGCCCTGCGGCGCTGCGGAGCTGCCGCCTCGCCCTTCTCTCTCCCTCCGCCGACTGCTGCGGCATCCCCGGGGCCGCGGCACCGGCGACGACCCGGCCCCGCGCACAGCCCGGGCCGCTGCGGTGCCCGGTCTCTGCCCGGAGGCGAGCGCGGCCAGGCGGGGGCCACCCGCAGGGCCCGGTCCCGGTGGTGCAGCGATGCCGGCAGCACGCGCCGGGCCCCGCCGGGCCGCCCTGCGCCCGCAGCATCGCGGCGGCCCGTGTACCATGAGCCGCCCTCCCCTGGGCACCTTCTCCGCCCCGCTCGCCTCCTCCTCCCACGGAGCCACCCTCCTCCTCCGCCCCCTCTCCCTGCCAGCCTCCTCCCCGCCCTTCCCCGCACTCCACGCCGGTGCCGGAGTCGCGCGTCACTCGGGCTCCAGCCCCGCCGCAGACATGGCGACACTGACAGCAGTCCAGCCGCTCACGCTGGACAGAGGTAAGCGCGGCTGCCGCCGCTCCCCGGCCGCCCCTGCCCGGGAAGCACCGCGGCACAGCGGCGGCTTTGCCCCCGCAGCCCCAGCGCGGCGGGCGCTGCCGCGGCAGCGCTCCGGCCCCGCGATGCCGGGGGTCGGCTGTGGCGGCGGGCAGCGGGGAGGCGCCTTCCCGCGGGGCTCAGGTGGGCGGCGGGAGAAGAGCTGACACGGAGGCAATAAAACTTTGTGCGGGCAGAGACCGGGGTAGGGCTGGCATCCCGCCGCCGGCAGCGCGGCGGTGGCGCGGGACGCGACCAGCGCTCCGGTCCGGAGACGCTCCTTGGTGCCGCTCTGCTGTCCCCGCCCTGCGGGGCTCCCCCGTCGGCGCCCCCGCCGTGGCTCGGCGCCCAGGGCCCCGCGTCGCCACCCCTGCAGGTGGCTGGGCGGGGGATGCTCGGTGGTGGGGCAGCGCCGTTCGGCAGCGAGTCAGGAGCCCGAACCTCTCGACGGGAGCGTCGTTTGCCGGCAAAATGTGGCTTTTTGGGGGGCTTGCACAGGGGTGTAGGGTGTGCAAGGAAGAGATCGTGACTGCAAGTCCTCTGCTCGGCGACGGTAATGATGTTACCCTACAAGAGAGCGGCTCTGCATATCTCCGTAGACAGTTACTCGGTCTGAGTAGAGAGCGCGGGGGGTGCTTGGGTAGCCTTGAGCCCGTGTCAGTAACCTTGTACAGGTAGTGTAAGAGGATGCTGAAATCTCGAAGTTATATTACAATTCAACTTTTGCCTCCGGGCTGTAAAAATTGAACCTCTCCCCTACAGTGGATTTGTCCATGTAACAAGGCTTAGGAGAAACGTCATTAGGTTTCTGTGGGTTACAGAGAAGAGTAACTTACCATTCTGATTTTTTTTGCTCCTACCGTTCCATTGGGTAGAGAGGTCCAACAGCTCCCAGAGCAGCATCCTGAATTGCAGCAGTATCCTTCCTCCTCACTTGCATCCAGAGGCTCCAAGAGGCACCCAGCCTCTAAAAATTTTGTACTCTCAAAAGCATAATTGAGGTCAGTGCCTTGGCGTTTTAAATGTTTCTGGGGTTTTTTTAGAGGACTAAGATGGGTTTTCAAAGTAAGAGAGGTTTTTTGCTGTAAATCCTGCACAAAAGAAACACAAACTCAGTTTCAAAATGATAAAGGAGAGGTAGGCACCTTTTCTAGAACCCAACTGAGAGCAAAACAGCCCACAAAGTACTCTAAATACAGTTTTCTGGGCTTGAATTCCAGCATTAGTAGAAAGGGGGAATCTGAAGTTATTTTTACTGAAATAGCAAAGTGCTAGCCTGCGCTTTAAATTAAACTGCTCAGAAATCCACTGTGTAATCTACAGTTTCACCCTAATACTGTTTTCAGTAAGCAGGACAAATCTATTTTCTGGCAAAGGGTTGAACAGATGGCAATCCATTAGCAAACCTGGCTTTTCAAAGGAAATTATTGCTATTTCAGAATTATACACTCCTTTTCGTTACTAAACCTATGCTTTAAAAATTCCACAATACACAAAAATGCAAATTAGTCCAAATTTAAATATAAGCATCTGTTGTCTGTGTCCAGGACATGCCTAACCATTTGGCAGGGATGTCAGCATTACAGTCTCCTTGGTTGTCAGCCAGGGCTGATATTAGTTTGAGTGAGATAAAACATCACAAAATGATAGGATGTGATGTGCAAAACGAAAATACAGGCAGGAGGAAATAGATTTAAATACCGCACCTGGCTTACAGAAGGCCCTTTTGTCAGAGGGATACACTTCATCACCTGTAACATGTTGCTGTTGCATCAGCTGTAGAGGGTGGGCTGAAGCAACTCCAGAAGCAACTAGACCAAGCCCAGTGCTTCCAGATATTTCCGCTGTAGTCTTTCTCTTACAGCCACGGGAGAAGGAAAGTTATAGATGGTGAGATTTTCCAGATTCCTGTTACTTTTGTTAAAGCAGACAAGCTATGTTTATCATCACTGTGCTTTGCACAGCTCTGCTGTAATCAAGGCACAGCCCAGAAAAGTCTTGTATGCTCGTATCTGTTTTGCCCTGTCCCACGCAGAGCTCAGCATAGTAAGAAAATAAGAGAGTGTTTCAGGAGAGGTGGTGTTGTTAGCCTTGTGGTGCTGGGGGAATTGCTGCTTCATGTCTATCCAGGACACGTTCTGCATTCCTCCTTGTTAAGGGCCACAGAAACAGTAAAACGTCATAGGGATACATACATTAGAAATCTGAATTACCCTCTGACGTGGTCTCCTCCTGGACAAAACATATTCACTGTATTCTGCTACATAGATGGGAGCTTTCTTAAAGCCTGATGTAAATGGCATTCAAAACCTCTGGTAAAATGAATTACCATTTAAAGGTGAAGGGCATGTTGTATATGAATGATTGAAAGCCAATTACATTCTGGAAGATTACTTCTGTCCAAAGCACAGGAATTAATTTCCTTAATTCCTATCATCATGTGCCTTTCTACCTGCACAAATGTGTGCAAGTTCCATTAGGGCTCTTTAATATGTAGAACAAGTTCACAAAATAATGGAAATTTTAATCACTTACAATTTAATCTCAAAGGCTTTTGCCTGATCTTTGTGTGGTGCTCTACTGGGAGGAGGGGAAGAAATCAGCAACTGTTTCGGGCAGGAAACATAAAGCAGTGCAAGCTATGAGTGGTACCATTTAGGGAAGGGTGGCCCCAAGCATTGGGCAGCTTTGGGAGGGGAAAGTGCCTGCCTGCTGAGTACAGCAGCAAAATAAATCTTCCAACAGCCAAAGAAGTCTTCTCCATAAGAAAGTGCACCCTTCCTACCTTTATTGCAAATGTCTTGCATCCTGAATTGATACCACCCCATCAGTAATCTCCGGTGTTCATCAGAGCTAACTGGGGGAATATTTTTGGCCAATTCAACGCTTAAACCCTGAAGTTGTTGAGAGCTATATCTTATTCCAGGTTGAGACAGTTACATGTCTTTCATAAAATGATAAGTAAAAAAATGCAAAGTTGGGATTTTTTCTTTTTTTCTTTTTTTTTTTCATTTTATGTTCAGGGTTATGGATTTTTAAAACATTCCCAGCTTAATTTACCTCCATTCACTCCAATACAAAAGAGAAATGTTTAAAAGCACCTATACAGTTGTTTTTGACTTCTTCCACAGGTATGTCTTTAGTAAGAATTTTGTTGACACTGTTTACAGACAGCCCTGGTTCAGTTAGTTGGCGTTTTTCCAACACTAATTATTTGTATTGGCATATTGCTCATCACATCTTGCTGCCTTTGCCTCTCTTCATAATGTCCTTTGTCTTCCACAGAGGTGTTGTGTCACCCTTCCCCATGACCAGCAGTTGCTGCCTTTGCCTTTATTATCCAGAGCCCCAGGTCTCCTTTGGATGCTGCCTTCTGTTGCCTTGCTCTTCTCAAAGCCCTGGTGCAGTTAACTCCGTTGCTCTATGTGTTGCCTGTAATCTTCATCCATTTTCACTGTTCAGCAACCCGGTTTCCTCCTCTAATCCTCTGGTCTGCTGCCCTGTGACAGTCGGCACCTCACCAGCTTGATGTTGTCTCAGATGCTGCATACGCATCCAGCCACAGTGTTCTGCTTTTCTCCAAATGCAGTGTCATCTACCTCAGCCAGCTTAGTCTCCTTATGGTTATCTGAGGACCTCCTGTGTGTTCCTGTGTGCTGCAGGTACACGTTATAAGCAATGAGAAATTAAAGGAAGCTTGTGGGTGGGGTCACTTAAAGAGTGTGCTAGCACAGTCTGATGGAAGTATTGTCTACAAGTACCATTACACTCCCAGAAATAACATTAGGAGGCAATAGATTTCTGTGCTGCCCTTGGCATACACTTTAGGAGTGGTCATATGGAGGCCTGCAAATTGAAGGAGACATCTTTCTAGCTATGCATTGTAGATTTTCCTATCTGAACTTCTTTATTTGGTCAAACACCTGGCAAATTTTTCATAAACCGTATTTTACTTCGAATTTTACTCGTGTTCTTCCTTTCAAGATGAAAATCTGCTTTGAAAGAAAACTGACCATGTATTTTCTTAGATTGCTGCAAAACTTCAGTCCCAGTTCCTCTGCATAGGATCATGAAAGTGGCAGCTTTAAAAGGGCACTTTTCAAAAGTCGTTCTTGTTTTTGAAGATATACAATTAGCATGTGCAAAGACCATCTCGTGATTAAGAACAAGGGAATATCTTTTCCTGAAAACAGGACTTTCAACTGCCTTTTGTTAGTAATCCATGTCTTACTATGTTTTTCCCTATATAGGTACTATTCATGTCACTGATGGTTTCACTTCTTCATTTGACTGAGGATGAAAGAAGAAACTTGAATAGACTGAATATACAGTGCTGATATTTTAATCCCTGTGAAGTTTCATAACAAGGTCATATCTACTGGCTATTGACAACCAAATTTCTCTTGCTTTCAAATACATTCTTGGAAACTGGAAAGACTTCTTGCTGTTTGGCTGTAATGCGTAACTGAGTTCTGTTGGTTTTTATGAATTCAAGCAAATATTTTTCCAGTGGAATAAGTGTCCCAAAACTTCCTGAAAATACTATATAAAGCACTGTGTTCAGTGACAATAAATAAGAGTATGAATGGACTTGGAATTGCCATCAGCTTTTAGAGATATTAGACAGACTCCATCAGATGTGGTATCAGATGGTGCCGGACCAGTAATATACATAGGTACTTGCTAGAGTATTCCTCCTTCCTTCCTCCTCCTCTCTTCTTGTCATTTTTCTTCTGACTACATCATCACAGCCTACATAAATGGGGATTTTTTTCCATATCTGTGCCCATATATATGTACCCTACAAAAATTGTATCGAACATAAGTTGCAGTAGACTGTGCATCCATTATTGTAATGTGTACTATCTTGGAAAAAAACCCCAACATACTCATCAGGAAGAGAAAATCAGATTCACAAAGTGTGAAATACAGTCCTTGACGGGGGAGCAGATCTCTGTCACCCA